TGCATTGCTTAAGATGGCTGAACGATGGAGGAGCTCTGCTAGCTTGACTCTGAAGTGAGTAATTTGTCTTCTCCATTCGTGGATCAGTTTCGTCTCTGAACTAGATTGCTGTGAAACTGGACGGGATTTTAAAGATATTTTTGGACGTCTTGTTATGATGCCTAACCACAGCATCCATAGTAAGTTGATTTTTTATACACCTGGCAGCAACTAATTAACATCTCTAAAGCTGAAATTATGCATCCACTACTTTCACAAGTACCAGCTGAGTTAAAACGTAGGCGAGGAGCGAGGAGAGAGGAAGAAGAAATTTAAGCCATCTCTTCCATCAGTCATCACGATCAATGTGGGATCTTTTGGTAACAAGTAATGCAGCATTATGTGTTTTAGTGAAACGTGGCTTCAGGAGACAGAAGAGACTGAAAAATTCAAAGGAGGTGAGCTGGCAGGGTTTGTGAACAACAGATGGCGTTATACAGAACATGTTACTGTAAAGATTTGTCACAACAATTTAGTCTTGATTACTGATTGCTTTGTTTTCAATTTAAATCCTACTATAAAAAGCCAGATTTGTAATATTCGTCCATTTTACCAAACATTTTCTTCCGCTTATTGGGGGCCGAGTCACGGAGGCAGCAGTCTAAGCAAATATACCCAGACTATATACCCAATCCACGCACCCTCCATCCAGCTGCTCTTGGGGGGGACCCAAGGCGGCACCAGGCCAGCTCAGGGACAAAGTCCCTCCAGCCTGTCCTGGGCCTTCCACCAGGCCTCCTCCCAATGGGACATGCCTGGAACACCTCCTGAGGGAGACGACCAGGAGGCATCCGGAACAGATGACCGAGCCTCCTCAGCTGGCTCCTTTTGACTTGGAGGAGCAATGACTCTACTACGAGCTCCTCCTCGCTAACTGAGCTCCTCACCTGAAGATTATTTATATATTATTTAAATTGAATCCGGTTATATATGATGAAATTTTGTCCCGTCCAGCATCCATCCTCTGCTGCCCATCATTTAGGGCCACAGGGTGTCTGGTGTTCAACTCAAGCTATCTAAGGGTGAAAGGTGGGGAGCATTCTGGACAGGTCTCCAGTCTATTGCTGGGCAACACATAAACATTCAACCAATTCAATTTAATTCAGTTTATTTCTATAGAGCCAATTCACA